CAGGAATGCAGAGGTGCATGGGTGCGGGGTGCATAGGTGCAGGGCATAGCACTGCAGAGGTGCACAGCCGTGGCTGTCCCCACCTCTGCCCCAGCCCTCCCGCTCCATCTGCAGGGGCCTGGGCACTGGCATGGCCCCGCCGGACGTGGTAGCAGAGCTGGGGCTGCTGCTATCCCCGAGCTGCCCGCTCAGCTGCGGCACTGGGTTCGGCTGCCCGCGCCATGGGCCGAGGCCACCGCGGGCCGGGCAGGAGGGGTAGAGCCCTCACAGGCGTGGGGCAGCTGAAACCCCTCGCCCCCAGCCGTCTCCTCCACTGGCCATATCTCCATAGCATCGCATTTAACCTTTGGAAACCTTTGTAATGTCTGGGGTGCTACTGGGACCCCGGAGTATTGGATGCTTTTCCTAAAGCCCAGGGGGGATTTGGGATTTTTGCAGCGTGTGCTCGGCGATGCTGCTGCATGGGGAGGGACGAAGGATCGTGCGTCAGGCCGGGCCCAGGGTGTCGCACGCCTCCGGCCTCCGCTGCTGAGGAAGAAGGAAATCCTTTATATTTCAATTTTGCATGTCAACGGTGAGCTCTGAACGCAGCGGCAGCTCCTCGGGGCAGCGAGGGTCTCTTTGTGCAGCTTGCACCCAACTCGGGTGCGTTGATGCCACCAGGGCACCTGTATCTTGCTATTGCGGTAATAATAAATGGTCTGGATTAAAATGTACAGCTATAAGCACAGCAGCAGGGGAGCCTTCAGCCCAAACTGTGCCCGGGGAGCTTTGTTACAGCGGGTTGGGCAATAACGAGGACAGAGAAAACCAGGAGGCAGAGAAGGCGCAGGGACGCAGCCGGTGTCCCCCAGGCCTGGGTACCCCCGCGCCCTCGGGGACCTGGGAATGGCAGGAGGATGCTTGGGTCAGCAGCAAAGCCGTGTCCAAGCCCGTTGCTTCTTCCTGATTTTCCAGGAGCCCTTTTTCATCTTCCGGAGGAGCACAAAGTGCCCTGGAAGATGCGAAGATCCAGCCCAACGCAAGGACCAGCTGCTCAGTGCTTAGGCAATTTTCCCGGCCTCTGTAACTCTGTGAAATAACAGCTCTGCGTGTCAGAGCAGTTCCTTGCTGAGCGGTGGAGTCCAGAGGGACCAGACGAGTGCTGGGAAGCGGGAATCAATACTCTGCATCCCAGCAGCGTTATCTCTGTGTGATTGCACGCCAGGACCCACTGCAGTGATCTGCAAGTTAAGAAAGGAGGGGAGTCATTTATGGAAAAAAGTTGTTTTGTTGTTTATTCAGGGGTTTTGTGCCAGCGTTAAATACCAGCGTAACAGAAGAGGACGGGGAGCCCCCGTGCCTGACGTCCCGTGGGGTCGCTCCCGGGGCCGAGCCCGCAGACACGCCATCCTGCCCCGTGCGGGACGTGTCCCCATGTCCCCATGTCCCCCTGTCCCCGTGCCGCGTCTTCCCAGGGGCTGCTTGCCCAGTTAGCACCTCTCTGCAGCGCCCCGGCCCCTTCCTCCCGCCTTTCCCCCCCTTCCTTCCTGCTGCCTCCCCCC